TGTACAGATTGAATAGAAGCACATTATTTATTACGAAGCTATCAAGCCAAGAAATTTAGCAATCTCATTTTTTAGATTTGCTCATTTGACCTGGGCCAATTTGCCTGACTGATAATATTGAATATTTAGTATCACAATGTTTTTGCAGTTTTAAGGATAAAGTGTTTCAGACTAATTTGATTCAGAGCAGTTTGTTGAACTGAATGATTTTATGTCCCTGGAATCTTTATTAACTTCTTTTTTAGTCTTAGTGACTTAAAATTTAAGTGGAACTAAGGAATAGGCTACCTTATATACTGATGATGGGACTCTATTTAGCAAAAACAATGACAGAGAGAAATGGAAGCAAACCTATTCCACCTGATTCTGTCTTCTGGGCATGGGCTGCTGGGGAGAGGGTAAAAACTGGTTTGGAGTGTGGCAGTGGAATAATGTGCCCCTCACATCTCTTCACACCCCAAGAGTCAAATAAGGTTTAATACTCTACGGGCTTTAGGCTGGGCATTGTGGCTCATGCCTGTAATCCCAGTACTTTGGGAGGCTGAGGTGGATGGATCACTTGAGGTTGGGAGTTCAAGACCAGGCCAACCAATATGGAGAAACCCCATCTCTACTAAAAATATAAAATTAGCTGGACATGGTGGCACACACCTGTAATCCCGGCTACTTGGGAGACTGAAGCAAAAGAATTGCTTGAACCTGGGAGGCGGATGTTGCAGTGAGCCAAATTGCACCATTGTACTCCATCTCTTTAAGAACAAAATTCCTTCTCCAAGGGAAAAAAAAAAGGAAGAAAAAGGAAAAAAATACTCTATGGGCTTTGGTGGAATGGTTTGATTGACCCTGAAATTTGTAATCGGAGAACCAACGTTTGTAAAGAAGTAAACTTTCCTTTTGTTCAGGAGGAAGAAAAATTTGTAAAGAAAAATGGATCTCATTATCTTTCCCCTCAGCCTCATCCCCATCCTTTCCTTTGGACAATAATAAGAAAAATGTTAGGATCATTTGGTTAAATAAGATTCACTCTATCAACACAAAGCCTGCTGTCTTCCTTCAGTATATTTGCATTTGAACCAAAAATAAAATTGACAATTTCGATTTCAGGCTGGGTGCAGTGGCTCATACCTGTAATCTGAGAACATTGGGAGGCCAAGGCAGGAGGATGATTTGAGCCCAGGAGTTTGAGACCAGCCTGGGCAACAGATGGAGATGCTGTCTCTACAAAAAAATCAATAAATTAGCCAAGTGTGGTGGTGACATGCCTGTGGTCCCCGCTACTTGAGAGGCTGAGGCAGGAGGATCACTTGAGCCTGGGAGGTTGAGGCTGCAATGAGCTGTGCTTGTGCCACTGCATTCCATCCTGGGTAACAGAGCAATATTTTATCTTTTAAAAAAAATTATGATTTTAGTTTGGTGGTTTGGCATCATATAATTTTTTACAAGTTTGATTGGATTACTTTTCTTAAGAGTTAATGTAGATGAACTAATTTAGAAGTTGAATTCAGCCTTTAGTTGCTGGTAGCTAAAAATTGTGGCATTGGAATATGTCACTGATTATTCTTCATTCATTGACCTGCACATGAAAGTGAAAGGGATTGCTTTTCTTAAAGTTTGGTAGTAAAGTTCCTCTCAGATCAATGGCTGTTTTGGTCAGTGCTATACTGTAATATCTAGAGGACACTGAAAATTTTTAGGCAGACATGCAGGGGCCCATTTCTATCTACTTTTTATATTTCTTTGTCTAGTTTATTCTCTCATTATTTGGGATGATTTAACATTTAAGCAGATGTAGGATCTGGAGTTACCACTACAGAATATCCGTTGATATATCCATTTCATTTATACTTGGCATTACACTTGGAAAATTGTATTTTAGTTTGGGATTTGGGTAGAGAATGTTTAAAATTTGTGGGTATTTTCCTGTATTCTAGAAATCTGTTGAAAGACAAAATTATTTTTTCCAATATTCCTTTACACTTCCTAAAAGAGCTACTAATAACTGTGTAAACTGCACCATTGCCAACAGCTGACATTTCTAGAATTTCACATGTCAGTAAAACAGTGTAAAACACTGTAAGGAGCAGTGAGAAGACAGGAGAGAATTAGCAGAGCATTTTAGTGGCTTTAAAGGGCCCTCTCAATCTATTGAAGTCTTAAACTTTATGTTCTGGAAAATTCTATTTCTAGTAAGCAAAAATAACCCTGATGACAAAATTTCATCAGCCTTAATGCTAATGAGAAGCAAAAGATATTAATAGTACGTAGCTTAAAGTTGACAATGGATAGAAAGTTATTACCTATGAATTGTTAATTGTTTAAAATAACATGATGCATGCATGGATTGGTGTATTTTTATTTTACCAGAGAGAGTGATCTGTCTCTCACTTTAATATAGACTTTTGTGGCTATTTTCCAGTACAATATTAATTCCCTTATTTTTCTATAAAGTAAATAAAGGATCTTTGTCTTTAAAGAGTCATTTGTTGTTATCTTTTTCTTTGTCTCTTTAGCATTTGGTTTATACTTTGATAATAAAGATGTAATATTTTAAGGCCCCCTTTCATAATTCAAGTGCAAAATACCTGAAAGCCTTATTTTAAAATAAGTCTATATTTTTTATAAACCCAGTGAATAGAATAAGTATTTTAGTAAGAACGTTCTGTGGTGTGGTCACACAAAAAGTTATTTAAGCCTGTGGGTAAAGAAATTTAATGTTTCCTCTCATAACATTTCTTTATAACCTAATCCATTGAAAGGATTATATGCAATGTGATACCTAAAACATTGAGTCTATATAGCATTGTAATAAAAATGAACAATCGTAGAGCAACAAGTATCTTTTGCCCTAACAGTATTTTTAGCTTAAAAAATGTGAGGGTTTTTTTTATTCTGTCACTGAGGCTTGTTCCTGAATTTAGGAAGAATAAATGCAAATATTCTTCCAGCAAGAAACGTGAAAGAAAATTTCTACAGCATTCTAGCCTCTTGGTTCCTAAAAGAGTGAGTTATCGTTTCTCTCTCCCATGGTCATTAATAATGACAGACGCACATGGTGCAGAGTTCACCTACATTATTGTCAGTAGCAGGGCTGGCAAGAGAATATTTATTACAGAAGGAGGAGGGACACAGAGACATGATGTTGAAACAGAAGACAAGTGCAGAGTTCAATTGTTTTTTTTCTGTTAAAATAAAATATAATCATTCTCCAAGCTTTCTCAATAGCATTTATTTCAAACCACTCTTATTATAAATATATTTCATCTCCATAAACACTGCTCGTAGTGTTGATTTTTAAATTGAAATGACGAGGCACTCATTTTTATTTTATTTTTCCAATAAATCTGTCTAATAACCAAATAGATTTAAATAACTCTTAAAATATTATTTCAATTGTTGATAGGAGGACTTTTTGATTGTTAAGATCTTTTCCCATCTTAATGTACAGAGCTAAAGGTATTTAAAATGGATTCAGCTAGCATTTGAATTGTGATTTGAAATTTTGCTTAAATATTATTATAATCAATAGGTTCCAAGATAAAGAATTTACAAAGTGCATTTGTGCAGCCTCTCCTGAACTCTTTCCCTCCACTTCTTTTTCCTTTTTCCTCTGCCTTTCCTCCCTTTCTAATTTTAGCCTATTAAGACAACTCTACTTGGGATTCCTTTCCTGGATTAGTCTGTTGATTGTCCCTTGTGGTACAAAGGAAAGCCTGTATTTGGAGTTGGGTTTTCTGTGCCTACTCACACTCCCTCACAACAGAAATCCAGACACAGCCCCTTCAGTGGGAGTACCTGACTGGTGGTGAATCCTTTTTTTTAAAAAAAAAAAAAAAACAGTGATGAAGGTATTGGGGTAGGGAGAAATGAAATTGGATAAATATGTGGTTCTTCTCTGATTTCCAATTAAAGGAAAGGATGACGGACATAGCTTTCCTGTCCCATTAATTTATAGAGAAATTACACAGATTCACAAGGGTAGAGGTACCCAAATGAGGATGTATTAAAAGAAAACTTAAAAGCCATTTTATCACTTGGCTGATAAAAATCATACAACTTCTCAACAGTATTCTTCAGAAAGATTATAGTTGTAATAAAGATACAGTCTAGGGCACAGCACATGCTGGATCCCTCATAAATATTAGCTTCCTTTTCCCTTAAAGCAAAGTCCACATCTTTATCTTCCTATCCTTTCACCAACTAGCATTATGCCTACATCTAGAAGGCATTTAATAAGTATGATTTTGATGTATGTATGTGGAGAAGTAAAGGACATACGGGCATTGATTACTTAAAATTCATGTCCATAAATATATGTTAAGATAGTTTCTAGCTGCCTAGTCATACTATTTGCAAGCCAACTACTAGTTTTGGCCTAAGTGAATTTCACAGTGCAATTTGATACAAGGAATCCACCCATCTCATGGCCTTAAGGCCAAGGCCTCATGGAAAATTTGGCTTTCAGTGGCCAGACTGACCCATTTAAGAGTGATGCTTTCAACTCCCCAATTCTCCGTGGAAGATTTTCTTTAAAAGCAGACTTTAAGGCATTAGTGTTTCTCTAATTTGAAAAAGAAATGAAATATAAGCCTTTCCCAATTAAAACTAAGTCAGAAAAATAAAGAGTATTAGGAAATAAAATTGAACTACAGTACAAAAATCACTACTTATGGATCTCCTCAAATGGCATTAACGAGAGCAAGGCAAGATCAACACAACTAAAATGACGCCTCTGTTTCAAAAAGTTATTCTCAGATAGAACGAAATAAATCACTGCTTTAGTTGACAAATATTCGACTACATTTTTTATTATTTTTCCCCTTTATAGATATTTAATGATCCATTTTAAGTTGTGGGAAAATGAAGAAATATATATTCACAATTTTTGGTAATAGTATAGCCTCATGCAGCTAGGCAAGCCTGCCATGCAGTATTCGATTTTTTTTTCAACTATGTCCATGGTCAGTTATCTATGGCTTTTAAAACAGGATGGAGTTACCTGCTATTCCTTTGCCTCAGTTTTATCCACTGCCTCACCGTTGCTTTGAACATGATGCCAAAGGAGGCTACTGCTTCATCCTGCCTGACAAGTTCCAATTATTAGAGCTTTCCCAAGTAACATGATCAATACCTTCAGAGGTGTTTTATTCTACTTTTCTTAGACATCATGTAAAGACACTTTTTCAAGTGCTACTTTTCAGAGATGCTGAATGATGCTCTGAGCATGCAATCACAACGTGAAACTTAAAGCTGCCATTGACTTCCTCTTCTGTTGCACTGTAACAGAAACATAAAAAACCTTAAGCAAATGAGGGTGTATTGCTCAGGGAGTTGCAAGAATCTTGTGTAGAAGCCATACCTACATTTTTGCTGTCTCTCAACTAATTTGTGCTGCAATCCCGAATTAATTTGAAAACTCCCTTTATACACAGAATCAAATTCCTCTCATTTAAAACCTTCCCTGTCCTGGTGCAGTGGCTCATGCCTGTAATCTCAGCACTTTGGGAGGCCGAGGCAGGCAGATCACTTGAGGTCAGGAGTTTGAGACCAGCCTGGCCAACGTGGAGAAACCCCGTCTCTACTAAAAATACAAAAATTAGCTGGGCGTGGTGGTACTCACCTGTAGTTCCAGCTACTTGGGAGTCTGAGACGAGAGAATTGCTTGAACCCAAGAGGCACATGTTGCAGTGAGCCAAGATCACGTCACTGTACTCCAGCCTGGGTAACAGAGCAAGACTGTCTTCAAAAAATGTTTTCAAAGGAGGGGCTACAGGCTCCATACATGTGATGTTAAGCCCTTGGTGGGTTCCTAAGGCCTTGGGCAGCTCCAACCCTTTGGCTTTGCAGAGCTCAGCCCCAGAGGCTGCTCTCACAGGTTGTTGAGTGCCTGTGGCTTTTCTAGGCTCAGGGTGTGAGCTACCAATGGATCTACCGTCCTTGGTCTGGAGGATGCTGGCCGTCTTCTCAGAGCTGGGACCCTGTATGGGGCCTCTAATCTCACATTTCCCCTTGTCAGTGACCTAGTAGAGGCTGTCCATTGGGGCTTTGCTCCTACAGCAGTCTTCTGCCTGAGCATCCTGGCTTTTCTATTCATCCTCAGAAATCTAGGTGGAGAGTGCCAAGCCTCATTCACTCTTGGACTCTGTATACCCACAGACTTAACACCACATGAAAGCTGCCAAGACTTTTTGCACCCTCTGAAACAGTGGCCTGAGCTGTACCTGAGGTCTCCTGAGTGAAGGCTGGAGCTGGAGTGGCCTACATATGGGGAGCAGTGTCCCAAGGCTTTGAAGGCCAGCAGAAACCGAGGCCATACCCATGAAATCATTCCTCCATCCTAGGCTTCTGGGCCTGTGATGGGAGAGGCTGCTGGGAATGTCTTGAAATGCCTTTTTCCCATTATCTTGGATATTAGCATTTGGATCCTTTTTGTTATGCAAATATAGCAAAAATTTGCATAACTAAAATTTTTGAATTCCTCTCCCAAATTTTCTTCCTCTGCTTCATGGCCTGGCCGCAAATTTTTTAAACTTTTATGCTCTGCTTCCCTTTTAAATATAAATTCCAACTTTAAGTCATTCATTTGTACCCACATCTGAATTTAGGTTGTTAGAAGCAGCCAGGCTACTTCTTGAACACTTTGCTGCTTAGAAATTTCTTCCGCTAAATATCCTAAATCATCACTTTTAAGTGCAAACTTCCACAGATCCCTAGGGCATGAACAAAATGCAGCCAATCTCTTTGCTAGCTGTTGCATACCACATGAGACCTTTGCTCCCAATTATGTTCGTTTCCATCTGAGACCTCAGTAGCCTGGACTTCATTGTCTGTATCTCTGTCAGCATTTTGGTCACAACCATTTAATCAGTCTTTAAGACATGCCAAACTTTTCCTTCATCTCCTTGTCTTCTTCTGAGCCCTACAAACTCATCCAGTCTCTGTCCGTTACTGAGTTCCAAAGTCGCTTCCACATTCTCAGGCATCTTCATAGCAAAGCCCCACTCCTAGGTACCAATTTTCTGTGTTAGGCTCTTCTTGCATTGCTATAAAAAAATATCGGAGACTGGGTAATTTATAAAGAAAAGAGATTTAATTGGTTCATGATTCTACAGGCTGTACAGGAAGCGTGGTGCTGGCCTCTGCTCAGCTTCTTGTAAGGACCTCAGGAAGCTTACAGTCTCAGTGGAAGCCAAAGAGGGAGCAGGCACTTCACATGGTGAAAGCAGGAGCAAGAGAGAGAATGTGGGCGTCAGGGGCAAGTGCCTCACTCTTTTAAATGACCAGATCTTGTGATACCTCACTGTCACAAAGATAGCACCAAGCATTAAGGGATCTGCCACCATGACCCAAACCCTCCCACCAGGCCCCACCTCCAGCACTGGGGATTATAATTCAATATGAGATTTAGGCAGGGACAAATATCCAAACTGCCTCAAGGCTGCTGTCCCAGGCTCCTGGAGGAAGAATTGCACTGGCAGAGATTTGCACAACACTGCAGAGACACTGCCAGGCCACTTGGTTGCCATCTCTGCTCTGCCATAAAGTTTCATAAACTGGTCTGTGAGACTTGTCCCCAAGCTTGGGATGTAGAATTAAGCTTTATGACTTTTGGTGACAATATTTTTCATAATGTATTTTATGAAAAAATAATGAAATCATGTTTTTAATTTTAAAAATAATATATATTATCCATACTGTTTGTATGGATAATATTTTTTTGCTCCATTTCCTTTTTCCTCCGTGTTTTTTTCCCTCCAAAATTGATTCATCTTCTCCCTGCGCAGTGCATGTATTCCCAAGTGCAACCAAATCCTGCACCAGAAGCAACAAGTTGCCACTTACCACATTTCCTGTTTGTCTTACCATGATTAAGGGGCAGAAAGGGTTGCTCCATATATAGAGTCGCCAGGTTTTCAATTGCCTCTATTCTTTATAGTCCAATAAATAAATTTTCCTTTTTTAATAGCACATTTTCTACATCATAGCCCTCAGCAAACAAGTATGAATCAATAAGTATTGAACTTCGTTCAGTATCAACCATGTAAATAAAATGTCAGAGTGTTCAGGCTCTTAGTCTGGAAAAGTTTCAGCCGTTCATCAAGACTATCTGGAGCCTTCAGACTTCCACTAGGAGGGAATGGGTGCAGGAACAGATCTCGATGCCAGAACAGCAGGGGTCTTCATGTGTAGATGCCTGTATTATTCAGGGAGCTTTATAAGAGGGATCTCAGAGACTGAGGGATCAGAGCAACGAGACACACATTCTTGGGTACCAAGCATCATGCCTTTCTGTTCATCATGTTCCACTTTAGAAGTGAATGACCTCACTCCTACAGAGACTTTATGATGAAAACTAACCTAAGAAAACACTCTAAACTTACACGAGCCCTCAAGAACAGGTAATTGATTTTCCTGCATACTTAGAGCAGAAAGAGGAAGCTGAAGTCACAGCATCAGTACTGGGTATCTGAAGCAGAGTCAGGAAGTAGTGTGTTCCTCAGCAGAACAAAAAGCATGCACTTCCATGGTTATGGACTTTAACTTACAGGGGAAACATTGGTGACTGAGGAAAGGTGGCTATCTGTGCCTGTGATAGACTTCCTCAAAGATGTTCATTCCAGGGCAGAGCTGCGTTTGGCAGTTATGGGACATAGGTTGGAGCTCTGCCCTAACTCTAACACAAGGAATATAGGAGCTGGGTGATCCCAGCTTCCTCACTCCCCTGCCTTCAATATTTTCAGTAATATGAGAAAATACTCCGGGCTTTTTTTGGTGGTTGTGAGGTTTCCATCATAATATGCAATAAGGTATATAAAATTACTTTGTAAAGTGCTATACAAATGATACCCGAGTATTGGTACTGATTATGTCACAGTAGTTGTTAGACTTGTTTTTTCCTGAGTTTAAGAGAGATCATATGGGATACAACTAGAGAACAGCTTAAGGCAAAATATAATTAAATATGAGACTGTTACGTTGGGTACTAAAAAGGTTTGACCTCTAATCTCTGACGGAGAGACTGTGTTTTTGAATAGAAATATTCCTTTCACTGAAAACATACATGACATTATTTATTTATAACAACAATCTACTACGCAAAAAAAATAGCATATAACTGGGAGCATAAGCTTAGCAACATAAAAAATTAGCCACATAAAAAATAACCAGGGTATTAGTCACATTGTATATTTTTATCTCTCTGAGGAATAGAGGTTTCCAAGTAGGAAGATGCCAAAAGTATAGGTGCTGAGTCTAAAATGGCACTTGTTTCTTTGCATTATTATGAATTCTTTATTAAAAACTAAGTAGTTATATTTGATTTGACTCCAGATTCACCAGTATGAAAATTCCTTTTCAGCATATAGGCAAAGCCAGACTTGAGAAGCATCGCCATTCAGACAAAGGCTCTCTCCCCTCCTCTCTTTGACTTTCCCAGTGGTGAGAAGCTCCTTGTATCACTGGGTGGTTACCTTCCTTTGCACCTGAAGGACTGCTGTTTCACTTCCTCCCAGGCTTTTCTAATCAGCCTCCGGCAGCGTGACTTTCACTTCAACCCTATCTTGCCTTCGCAGGGACATCCACTGAATTCTTCCAGCGAAATCATTTGTATCCTCACCGGATTTCTCTTGGATGTCTACTGTGCAGTGGAGGTCCCTCTCCTAGAAAGATTCTCCTAGCTTGATTTACAGCACCTGCTTCACTCTGACCTCCCAAACTCTCCCTCCCTCACATGGGCCTTTCCTGACCTTTGAATGACGGGTGGGCCCTTTGACTCCACCTTCCCTGCTTTCTCTCTCCCTTTGCCCTCATCCCTCTAGTGGCCACTGTCTCGTCAAGGTTTTAGCTATGACTGTGCTGCTGACTACAAACCAACATCTTCAGTTTTATATTTACAGATATAGGGGAAGAAAAATATCCTTTTAGTCTACTCTTCTAGGTTCTCAGCTGGGGTCCCTATGAGAAAAGACAGATTAGCAAGAGAAAAGCTTCAAATATGTTCAAGATGAGCTTTATGTGGCATGGGAGTCTCCATAAAGAAATAAAGACCTCAAGCCACCTCATGATAGAACAAAAGGTCATGTGCTACATAGAGGCAGCTTCTCAAGGCTTGCCCACTCGATCTCTTGGCGTTCCTCTGTCTTCATATAAGGACATTCCTTTCCTCTGGGTATAGGGCAGGCACCTCTCACATGAGGGCCTCATGACCTGCTTCGAGGGAAGGTCAGAGAGTCCCTTCAGCATCTGCTGTTTCTTGGATTCCCAGCTTACATTATTCACTATGTCAAGGCACCATATTTTTGGAGTAACATGTTCTGAAACGTGTCACAGATGTTTTCAGGCCGACATTTCCAAAGCCAAATTTATCCACTGTCCCCCTTTCACCATTTTTGTCATTAGGATCTTTGTTCTTCTGGTCCTTCGGGGTAAAAATCTGGGAGTCTCCTTTGAAGGCACCCTTTTCTTCATCATATTAATACACTTTGTCAATCTGTCTTACTGGATTACATCTGCATTCCCATTTTCACTGGTACCATCTCATGGCTGTGTCCCCACCAGAGATGCTATCTGCAGCCTCTGCCTCCAGTTCTGCTACAGGAACAGACTAGCAGGTAGTCTGCTCTTCCTTAGTGACAATTTAATTTTCCCATTCCTCTAGTGGCTGCTTATTTTCTCTTACATGGCCTCCACATAATGCCAGCTCCCTCCTTCCAAAGGCCTGGAGTCTCTTGCTGTCTGAGTGTTGGACATTCTCTTGTCTTTGTCTTTTCCACACTGCTATCATTCCTCTAATCCTCAAGCTAGTCTCAAATTTTTGGCTTCCTTTGAGGCACAGAGTCAAGGGCCTCATCTTCCTCCTAAACTTATCCTGAGATTCCAATTCACCTTGACTTCTTTTCTCTAACTTTCATTTCTATGTACAACATCCAGAGGCAGCCCACTACATCTTAGTACTTAATATTTTGCTATTTTTTACACAATATTGCGTAGCTAGTTCATCATTTTTGTGAATAAATAAAATCTCAACAATAAGGTTCATCCCTTCAGGGCCAGATTTTTTCAGCTTGATCCATCTGCGTATCTTACAAGGTACCTGGTAGATAGATGTTCACTCGATACTTATTGCTTATAGATGTTCATTCAGTCAGTATTGAATGAACCAGCATTGAATGGTAATTGAATGGTAAGAAAGCTGCTGCACTCTTCATCTGCTTCTTTTTCTCAGCTCTCCAAATATTCAACGTTTTGCTGAGAAATGCAAATGTGTTTCTCTTATGTAGGAATTACATTTACTAGATAGCTATCAATATGTTTCTTAAGCACCCATTATGTAAGTACTTGGGCAGCACTATTAGCAGGGAACACGGGTTCTTTGCCTCTCTTCAATTGAAGCTTAATAGATATTTGTTCAGAGAACAGATAGCATGTTTGCAGACAGATTTATTGTTGGAGAAGTTAAGAGTTGAGAGGTTAAGTGACTTGCCCAAGGTTACTTATTTTGTGGTGGTTGCCATGGTTTGAAGTGGTGGATTGAAATTATTATCTGGGCAATGCAAGCCTTAAGAAAAGAAAAATACATAAATAGCAAGGACAATGAGGAAATGGGATAATGCTTTGTGAACTTTGAAAAGTAATGCTTTGTGTTTCCTAATATCTGTAAGCCACACTGGAGCCATGCTGTTTAAGTGAAGGGCCTCACAGAGAGTCACAATTTAGGACTACAGTTTGGGACCCTCTGGAGGGCAGGGGAGTGAATTGAGTCTACCCTGATATGTAATTTCTAGATGGAACACTTACTGTTATTTAAGTCAGGTCTTCCAAATCTGTTGGAGGGAAGGCTCTTGATTTCAATTAAATAGATTTATGAAAACCATGAACAGCCTTCTCTAACACAAGGATTTGTATTTAGTTTTCTGGGATACCATTCAATGATAATGTCTTCAGCACTCAAATTCTGTGATTAAAAAAAAAAAAAAAAAAAAAAAAAAAAGGTAAAAAAATTCTCCTACTATATGTACTAGCCTGTAAGTAAACTGGACTCTAAATATAAGAAGCATGATCCCCAGACACTCACTAACTCCAATAGCTCTTTGGTTCAAACAACACATTTCGTGTAGGTTTTGCTTGATGAAGTTTTGGATATTTGTTATTGCTGTTGTTTTTATTTATTTTTCAAGTTTTCCCGATGGTTTTTATGCTTAGCAAGGGATATTTAACAAAATGCAGAAGTTGTAATGGTTATGGAATCTGAACAAAGTTCATTCATGCTGGTCCCTGAGATGTTTCTAACTCCTTCTAAGATGATAAACAGAAGCATAGATGGAGGGTTCCATGTTTCCAGGAACCAGTTATATGTACTGTGTGTTAGGAGCTGAAGCCTTAGTTGAGGAATTCATCTCAAGTTTGTCACTGTTTAGATATGAGACCTATTAAAAAGTATGCCAGTGTTAGGCGTGGAGATTTGGCTTCACCTTTCCATTAGAACTTCAATTTTTCAATCATTCAGAAGAGAGCAAAACTGTGAGAGAAGTATTCGTTTTTAAAATTATTTTTTAAGTAGCTGCCCTGTCAGATATTTGATGTAAATTAGCTTCATTACTTTTAGCCAATATTAAAAGTACAAGTATTTAAATTCAAGAACAATTTTAAATGATGCCAAGCAAAGTATAAGACGTTTTGGAAATTTTAATGAAAATGTGAAAAGAAAATGAAATTATAGCCATATCTTATATGATGTCATAATAGGTTTTTGTTTTACTTAAAACTATTATTAAACTTATGACAGTTGAAATAGCTGTGACATAATAATGGAAGAATTAGAAATAGTATGAGCGATAAGTGACAGGCATTCTTTGTCATGTTTCCAAATGTAAGACGCTATAGCTGGAAAGATAGTATCATAGTCTACAAAGATCTCAGTAGTTTTAAATTTCTGTGAAATGCAACTATGTGGCAATGCTCAGGGTAAGACACTAAACAACCAATTTTTAATTCATTTCTATTAAATTTGGCAATTAGCATAATTTGTGTATTTCCCTCAAAATATTAATTTTTAATATCCTGTGCATCAGGCAGTTTCCTCAGCTCTTATTCTTGATCAGCAACCCTTCCCATATCTTTGGTTATGACGATATCATTGTTTTACTGGAGTCCAGCAGTGGCAAAACACCAGGAAATTCACCACTGTTTCTACCTACCAGGCAGTATATTTGGGAACTTTATTGCAGAAAGATTTTTTTAGTAACCATGTCAGAATGCCTTGATGATCGAGGAAAGATACAATCTAAACTGGTATTTTTGCATTGGTCAGAAATGCAAGTCTTATTTCCTTTTTGGTTAGCATGTTAATCTATGTTGTTCATATAGTCACGAACTTAACAAAAGCATATACTTGAACTACAACAATGTCAATGCAGACATTTACCTGAACACCTGGAATGTGTAGTCTTGCTGGTCCCTAGGAGGTTCGTGGAAAAGGGAGGAGAATACAAGAAAATCAGAAGCAGCCCAGGCCTTAAAAAAAAACTTAAAAGATGATCTCTTTGACATAATTTTAACTTTAGTTTTTTAATGTTCAGTTTTTGACAAATTAAGAAAATTATGAGAGTACTATATAGCACTCTGTCCAAAGGGAAACATGAATACTTAAGAAAATTGAAGAATGAAAACTGTTGGAATTTCCTTTAGATATCTAATTTATCCAGATTTGTCTTTCGTCATAGCTCTGTACTGGAATCATAGCATGACAGAGCCAATTATTTGAGCTACTCAGTGAGTACATATAGATCCATATTCAACTGATACCTATGCCGTAAGTTTTCATAGTCACATTTAGACAAAATCTACTTACCTGGATAAAGTTCACAGGTAAATTGTTTAGGCTTCCTTTCAATTTTGGTTTCCTGGATACTATCCTAATACTATAGGGCATTATGGTGACTAAAAAAGGTGTGTGGAAGTTGGGCTATCTCTTAATTCTAAAATTAATGAGTTTTAATCTTTCTGAAATTGTTTCTCTAGAAATTCTTTTTTTCACTTTGCTTCTAAATGTGCTACCCCATTTAACTAAGACATAACTAAAACAAGCTGCCACTGGAACTTGATAATTGAGCAATTAATTAAGAAAGGAGCATCTTTGTTTTGGAGGACTGGTATCTGGTGAGGAAAATGTTCCCTGAGTGGAGAGCATTCCATATGAATCTTGGTAACTCGTTCACTCTCTAAGACTAAGCAGGTGGCTGGTGCTCTGTGGTGTGTATTAAGGGTGGGGAGTGTGTCATACTAAGTATGTGTCTTGGAGTTTTGGCACCCTGAGACCCTCTGCTCCAAAGCCCTCTGCCCCATCTTTCTTACTCCCTCCCTCCTTGCAAGTGGAATCTCAGTGAATCAGACACTAAACTTGCCTTAACCTTAATAGATACCCGCCCCATGTCTGTGGGCTTTTCACAATTGTTGTAGGAAGAGGAAGAGAAGCCACAAAATATTTACGCCAAGTTGCAATTTATAATGTAGCTGGCAGTCACCCCTTTGTGTAGGTGCACTTTCTATCTGAAAAATCAGAAACACCATGTTTTCTCAATTTGAAGAAATTTGCTAGCTTTTTCTGTGATTCATTTCTCTATCCTACGGGGATTTTTTTTTTTTTTGTAATTGCTTTTGTTTGGGATGCAATTATGTGATAGCTTCAGCCACCTCTCATTCCCCTCTGAGGTAATTGCACATTCTTACCTCTTTTTCAAGCTTTCTATCCCACTCACCTCATCAATTTCCGAAGATGACTTTGAAACATATTTCAAATGAAACAGAGGTCACTAAATGAACAAATACTTCCTTCTTGCCACAAGAAAATCTGTCTGCACCCACTATTCTTTTCTTGTTGCTCTTGAATCTTAGTAGAGGACGCATCTCTCTGTCTCTCTCCTTCTACACCAAGACTGAGACCTCAGCCTGTGTTCTTATCCTCTCTCCACCATCTTTTCTACTGTATCTTCACCATCTTTTCTACTGTATCTTCAATCTTAGGTCTCCCTGTGTTTTTTTTTTTTTTCTTTCCTTGACATAATTTATGGAATGTGCACATACTTTCTTATGGAATCCGAACAAAGCTCATTAATGCTGATCCTTGAGATGTTTCTAACTCCCTCTAAGATGATAAATAGAAGCATAGATAGAGGCTTACATGCTCCCAGGTATCAGTTATATGGATTGTGTGTTGGTAGTTAAAGCCTTAGTGGAGAAATTCAACTCTAGTTTGTCACTGTTTAGGTATAAGAGACCCATTAGAAAGTATGTCTGTGTTGGGGGCGAATATTTGCTTTACCTTTCCATTTAAGCATAAACTTTTTAATTATTCAGAAGAGAACAAAAATGTGAGAGAATCATTCACTTGTAAAATTATTTTTAAGTAGTTGCCCTGTCATATATTTGGTATAAATTAGCTTTATTACTTTTAGCCCTTATTAAAAATACAAGTATTTGAATTCAACAATTGTTGCATGTCTCTTCCATCTTGAAAATACAAACGCTTAAAACTATGTTGCCCTTGAGTTTTCTCCTCTTCTTCCCTTTCCCACCAGGCGCTATACAGGTCAGTGTACCGTGTTACACGTTGTCTTCACCTGTTCCGACTTCTCAGTGCGCTTCCTAGGCACTTAAAGGCCAACAATAACCTCTGCATGGCCACATCCACTGAACGCATTCCTTTTTGAAACCTCTCCTTTCAGTATCTGACTCACTGTCCAACATATTCCCGTTTTTTCTTGTACCTTTCCAGCCGTTTCTTCCCAAGTTCTTTTTCTTCTCTGGATCTCTTAGATCAATGAGCCAATGCATTTTAATTCACTAAAAATCATGGCTTGTCTTGGCGCTATCGCTGGAGCAAGTACGCTGAGCTTGCCAAAGGTGTGGTTAAGAGCCATTGTTGTAAGTGCTGACATTCTCTGTGGCTGGTCTCCTGTCTGTAAACAGTTTCCTAGGGTGATTGATCCCAAACAAATGACTTCAGCTACTAACTATAAACTGATGTCTCTAAAATTATATCTTCAAAGGAGATTTCTCTCATTTCAAAACCTCTATACTCAACTGCCACTTAGGCATCTGTAATTCAGTATCCTGCATCTCAAATCAAGAGGATCAAACATAATACCTTTCCTCCCAAGTCTATTTGTTTCCTTACTGTAATCTCTAATGTGGAGGATTGTACCAAATTATCTGGCAACCCCAGCCAGCATCCAGGGAGGGACCCTCATTGCTCTCTCGTTATCAACTTCTGTAGCCAGTGGACTGCCAACCACCTCTCTGTTCCTGAACTTAATTTCTCTTTATTTGCTACCCCTCTGTCCTTCAGTAATTCCTCTCCCTTAGGTCAGCCCTCCTCATTTCTTACTGGATCGCCTGAATACGCATCCCTCTTGCTATCAATTCTCTTGCAAGGCTCGTGGTACTACTGTCCCAACTCCTGGCTACGTCTCAGGAGCCCCCTGGCATGCACTATGCCCTGAACCTGCACGAACCTTGCTGTTTCAAGCCATTGTAAATTCACACAGGCTACTACGCCCGACTCAGATGCCCCTCCCTGCTTCCTCTGACTGACTCCTGCAAACTCTTCCCACAACACTCTTTCTAGGAAGCCCTTCCTGTATCACCAGATCCAACTTCAGCTCTATGTGCTTCCTCTGGGCCCGTGGCTACCACCGTCTTCCTTATGTTAACCTTAGGATGATAGGTAATGCTGTAACTCTTAGTGAAATGGTTACAAACCTAGGCTCCACAATCAACCTGCCTGGAGCGTGGCTAGACCCGAACATTCGTCATGATGGTAGCAAATTACCTCATTTGTGCCTCCGTTTCCTAATCATTAAAAATGGGGATAGTATTACCAAGCATATAAGGTTGTTGTAAAGATTAAGAAAAGCTGCGGCCGGGCGCGGTGGCTCAAGCCTGTAATTCCAGCACTGTGGGAGGCCGAGGCGGGTGGATCACGAGGTCAAGAGATCGAGACCGTCCTGGTCAACACGGTGAAACCCCGTCTCTACTAAAAATACAAAAAATCAGCTGGGCATGGTGGTGCGTGCCTGTAATCCCAGCTACTCGGGACGCTGAGGCAGGAGAATTGCCTGAACCCAGGAGGCGGAGGTTGCGGTGAGCCGAGATCGCGCCATTGCACTCCAGCCTGGGTAACAAGAGCGAGACTCCGTCTCAAAAAGACAAAAAAAAAAAAAAAAAAGAAAAGCTGTAAAACACCCAGAATACCTGGTACACAAGAAGAGTAAGTCTCAATAAAAGTGAGTTTTCTTTTTACTTTCCCTTTTCTCCTCCTCTTTTTTACTCTTTTCTCTGCCTTATTCTGCTCCATCTCCTCATTTTCCATTATCTCCTCTTTCTTCTCTTCATTTTCCTCTTTTGTTGCCTCCTTTTTTCTTCCCCCTCTTCCCCTTCTTGTTTTCTTATTTATCCTCCATCTCCTCCTTTATAGCTATTTCCCCAACTAGACGTCTGTAAAGCTCTGTGGACGCTGAGACTATATTATATTTAACTCTCTGCCTTATATCCTGTCTTAATGTTATTTCTTATTAGACACTGGGGAAAATATCACCTTTTTTTCTGCTTTTAAACAATTATTATTTTCACCATTCAGAGTTAATGAGCATGTTTTCTTAAATTAATGATAAAATACAAGGATCTTCAGGAAACCTATCAAATGCTAAATATGCAAGAATTTTTAGCATTTTCTAAATGCACAATAAGCATAATAATAATGTCATATTTATAGAACATAATGTGACAGGCATGGTTATATACAAACTCACTCCATTATTGTCCCCAATGATAAGGTCTAATATTCTCAAGTTATTTTATTAATTCACATAGATTACTTATTTCTATGTATAGCAATTTTATCTATTAGTAATTACTACAATTATACCTTTTCATATCAGAAATGGAATGACAGATATGGTTTTACATCTTGGAAGGTAGGAGAGAACTGCCATTTGATCAGAGAAATGGGTACGAAAAACCTTTAGTGTGTCAGATATGCAAATTAATAGGTAAAATGGAATCTTCATTTTTTAAGCTCCTGCCACCATTCTAATCAGGGATGGAGTTTTTACCATGAAATAAGCATCTTCATTTATTTGCAGTGGTAGAAGCCTGATCCTTGGAGTGATCTCTCTCTGCCAGTTACAAAGAGCACTTGGGGTCGGTCAGGTTTACCCAAACAGTTTTCCACAGTGTATTTGGAAAGAGGAAATATGTTTAGAAATAATAACTTGCTATGTTTGTTCTTATTGTAGTTTTATTTATTTATTTGAGACAGAGTCTCTGTCACCTGGGCTGGAGTGCAGTGGTATGACCTGTAGCCTCTGCCTCCTGGGTTCAAGTGATTCTTGGGCTCAGCCCCTCAAGTAACTAGGACTACAGGTGTACACCACCATAGGTGGCTAATTTTTGTATTTTTAATAGAGATGGGGTTTCATCATGTTGGCCAGGCTGTTATCAAACTGCTGACCTCAAGTGATCCTCTCGCCTTGGCCTCCCAAAGTGCTGGGATTACAGGGGTGAGCTACTATGCCTGGCCTGTTATTACTTTAGTTTTAAATGAGAGCATTGGTTAAGCTATATCTTTAAGATTGTTTTATCTTTGTTTCTACAAATAGAGTAGGAATGTAGAAAATTTGTTTTTAACTTACTTAAAAAGTTAAAAATTGATAGCATATCAACCCCCTCACCCCGCTTCTGGATTTGCAGTAGGATTATGCGGCCTCAAGAGGGTCTGCAGAAAAGGTGCTTGCAACTTAATATGTAACTCAGTATTTCACAAAACCCTCCCCTCCTCCACCCCAATATCTATTAATATCTGCAGGCACATTAGTGTTCTGTGGAACGCAGTTTGCATAATATTGATGTGTTTACCAGTTTGGGTTCCATCCTATGAAATGTGGTGCATTATTTTTAACAGGTTTTGCTGTATTTTAGTCATAATGAACTTTTGGTCATAATGAGTTTGACCCTCAAGCTTGTAAGTTGAGAGTAACTGACAGTGAACAAGGAAATTAATTTGTAAATTAGACTCTTGGGGAGAATTTTCATTGGCTTCTTTCTTAACAGTAGCTGGGGCCTCCGAGTTTAAATGGCCTTCATATTATAGTTCAGTTTAACATTACACAGGGCAGAAAAAATAATCGATTATTACTGAAAGAATTTTGGGGACTTTTGCAATGCAAAGAATTTGCGGGATCTATTTGATGGTGCTGCAAGATGTAATTTGAGTGATGGAAGGTAGGCAGGCAATCTGTAATTAATGAAGAACAAGGGCTCTTTTGGTTAGTAGTTGCCACAGATATTCAGTATTATGGGATTTAACTTCTATTTCTTATTGAATTTTTTTTTTTTTTTTGCTGCAACTTGTTAAGATTGTAAGAACATTTAATACGTCATTAATCTGTTCTGAAAAAGCAACCGTGTGGTTTCATTCATTTGTACTTTAATTTGACCTGGTAATGGAGAAGGAAGCTAATAAAAGTTCAATGTTGTTCCCTTTGTACAATTGTAGCAAGCTTCTTACTTGTCAAGCCTTTAACCATGACATATTTTTTCATTAATTAATCCAGCAGCACATGTATGAAACCATTGTAAGTCTTTTCTGAATGGTGGAAACTTTATTTGGCACAACTATGCCATTTAATGCTTTTTACTCTTCACAAGACCAGCATTCAGCTATATCCAAGAAGGAAGAGGGTGGTTCTGTTTTCCCTGTGGTTTAGTATACTTTCCCTCCTCATTTAAATGTTCCTCGTTTTTTCCTGTGTACCTTCCATAACTTAGGTTGATCATTTTACCAATTTGCACATCTTCTGTCTGGAGGAATTCAGCATTCAGAATCAGGTTTGCTGTTTTGCTCTCACTCAAGCTGTCATGGTAAATCACGGAAGCGTGTTATTCGCTCATTGGTTTTGTCAGTATGTGAGACTTAGCTTGATTATTTGACAATTTTTTTTTTCTTCAGAACATGAACTTTGGTTCTCATGCGAGTGTTGAGAGGGGAGAAACCAGGAGTGAAAGGAACTGAACCTTAGTTTGAACAGAAATTTGTTCCTATCATAATCCACATAGAGGGTACACTATTTTCTCTTTTCTTCTTCTGTCATCTGTGAAGTAAAGATGTTTCTGCTCTTTGACAAAGTTGTGCAGTGGGAAGTCTCTGAGTTCCAGAAGAGTTATTCTGAGGTAAATCGTTCAGAACAAGGCACTTAACTTTTCTGGGTCTCAGCTTCCTCATTTGTAAAAGGAAGGCGTCAGATTAGATTATCTTTAATCTCACATAAACCAATAATCTTAAATTCTAATATGCAAGTAATAACATAGATAATATGAAACTTGTACTAAGTTACTTCCTCTTAAAAAGCATTAATATCAAAACTCGCTATCTACTTTGTATTAATTTTACATGGCAAGGGAGAATAATAATGGCTTTGAAATCACTGAAAACCACTGAAGTAATGTGCAATTGTAATCCAAATTAGTCACATTTAAGTGACTGTGACTATATATAGTAGTTCTTTGAGGGGGAGAAATGGTTTTTTTGTTGTTGTTGTTTAATTATGAAAATGTTATTTCAGTAAATGTAATTTAATTAAAATGAGAATTTCTGCCAACTGTTTTAAATAAATACAGTATTATTTTACTAGTATGAAAGGAGTTACTATTTGCTGTCTCATTTCCTCACTAATATGCTGGCGTGTTTAGCTTGAACCTGAGCTTTTGGAAGTTTATTCTTAACCAAAGCAGTTCCTTTTTCATGTAAGTAGGTTAAATGTGAATTGGGCAGCCTTGGGGTGCCTTTTTGTTCACTTTTTAAAAGCCCCCCTCAAGTGGGCCCCTTTTAGAAACCTGGAATCATATGTTTGGAAGATTGATCCAAATTAACATTAGAATGGTTCTTTCATTTTTTAAAAATTATACAGACTATTTAAACTATGCTAAATTGACATAGATTGAAATAAAACTGAATAAAGAAGTAAAATTTGCTGTTTTATTCTCCTTTTGTGATGAAAGAATTGGAAATCAGAGAGGAAGTGCAGAGCCTGTTAAGGTTCAATTTTGCCCCCAAAATACAGAAGGAAATGTATTTGTACAAAAGGTATAAATTACTGTCATTGATTTACTTATGATTTCATGTGCCCTAGAATGGTGCAAGGAGATCACGAGTTTATATGTTTTGACTTCTGAGAAGCTTGTTTATTTTTGCAAAAATATTACGTTAATAGATTTCTAGAATTATAGGCCAATGCATTTTGTTCATGGAAATGCTGGCACTTGATGAAGTATGGTTAATGTGTTTTCTCATTTGCAAGTTATATAGCAATTTTTTTTATATAGCAATTTTATCCAGAGTTAAGACAATGCAAACATTTTAATTTGTTGAAAAGGAGTGAGCCATTTAATATGGGTAAAATTGCTTAAAGTGATTTTTTTTAATATGTTGGAAGTCTAGAGGGCGACAGATTATACTTTGGCTATAATTCAGGACTATACAATCACCCAGGTCCCAAAAGGTCTCCAAAGAATGACAAAGAAGCCTTGATTTTCAGACATGGGCATTATATATGCTAATAGCTTTACAGTGGAAAAGGTCTATATCCTTGTAATAGAGGAAACATTCATTTTTAGCATTTCAGACCATAGAGAACATAGTAATTACAACAGGCACTAATATCTGGCTCATTTCTATCCTTGCTGTTACCTCCCCCCACCCCAAACACTTCAATAATCCCAGTGGAATTAGTCAAAGGACTTTAAACCTATGTCATGTCGAAGTCTTTTATTCTCTCTTTAGTACATTTAGCATAACACTGGTCCTCGACGAAGGTATAGCATAGCTCATGTACATATGTATGTACACACACACATACACACACACACACACACACAGAGAGAGAGAGAGAGAGAGAGAGAGAGAGAAAGAGAGATACATGATTTATATATCACAGCAAAAAGAATTAGGAATGCTTTTCTTTACTTAAATATGCCTATGGACGTTTTCATTCATGTGATTTACAGTAATGATTTTTAGAAACACAAAGCTGGAATATGCTTTTATAGTTGAGATTAACTTTAAAGCTCTCAGTAAAAGTCTGTATTTTTAGTCAAGTAATCCCATCGTTAGAACTGTCTGGCCATCGCTCAGTCTTCTGGAATAAAATAAATTCACAAATTTTATTGCGAGGTGAGAAACACAAAAATAAGCAGTCATTAGCTCTTCATCTATGTTTGAAATATTTACCTGTATGGATTCTTAACTGAATTCTTAACAAGCAAATCCCCTTGGTCTTAGCTCATATGAACAGCATTGCTAGTTGCAATGTTTGATTGAGATGTTTACAAATCCCCAGTGCTTAGTTTTTAGGTAGTTCCATTGAGAAATGCAGAGGATTTCAGTAGTTAGAGTCCTGTAACTAATATCAACTGAAAACATGCATTTGATGGCCAAAAGAGTGCATTTTCTTAAGAATTTTTTGCAAGCTTACTTTTACTCAAAACATGGGCAATAAAAATTATGGAATAAACATGTCAGCTTTTTTCTTTACTATGAAAGATTCTTGTAGTTTTATCTTCTTGTGAAAGGTATTAAATTAAATCATTTACAGAGGTTAATCCATATTATCAGGAAAAATGCTAGCTTAAAGTTTGATGATAGACCTTATTATTTTCCTTTTATTTTGTTATTTTAACTTTATTTCTCTCTGTCTCTCTCTCTCTCTCTCTCTCTCTCTCTCTCTCTCTCTCTCTCTCT